AGAATAATTTTCTTAGAATAGATTCTCATCTTGTTGCATATGTCTAGAAAATAACAACTGAATATGTTCTTAAATAGAAATATAAGGCCTTGCCAGAGGTGTCAGAATTCAGCAGAGTTAGATTTGTACTTTTGTATACTTTTGCAGACTCCTTAACTTTGTTTCAGTGATTGACATAAAACTGGAAAAGCCTCAGGAGCAACCAGTCAGTGAAGGAGGCTGTTCCTGCTAATCTCCCTTGGCATCTTCAGCCCTTCTGCGGAAGCTCACTGCTTTGGTCCCATACTCTTTCATTGACTGCAGTGTGAATATTGGCTTGAACCTTTTCCCTTCAGTAATAACGTATTGCAATTCATCATTGCTGCCTGTTTCGTGGAGATGATCTATTAGCTTCACAAGCACAAAAAAGTCAGTGTCTTCATTATTTATATTTTTTAAAAGCCAAACAATTCCAGCATACTCGTGATAACTTTGAGGATTAGATACATTTTCTTAACATTTTTTCCTTTCTAATGTTATGATAATGTACTTTAAGATGATGAATCTCTCAGCAGCAGTGTGTGGCTTGTTAAGGAGCACTGAGTTCACAGCAGCATTTGCCTACCTTCTTACTTTTCTTGCCTCTTCTTCTGTTCTTACCTTCCCCAAACAAACGAGACGGCAAACAACAGTACAACCAAGCCCTTTGTAATTATCCTTAGTTTTACAGATACCTTTAGTTCCTGGCCATGAGCCACAATGTCCAAAATTATTCTTGAGCACTGATATAAATTACTTAGGACCTTCTTTGAGGTCGGAGCTCAGCTGTTACTATCATGATGGGCAGTGCTTGAATGAGGAAGAGTTCTCTTGTGTCTTCGGAATGACACAGTCCTAATGAGTTTACTGAGTGCTTACAGGTAAAGGAACATAAATTATACTTCTGACCAGAATAGGTGACCCTTTCACACGAGCTTTACTAGACTCTGGGAGAGAAAAGTAGCCAAGTACTTCAAAACCTTTTTAAATATTTGTTCCGTCATGGTGAAATTATAAAAGTTCTAACAGTTCTCCCCAAATTTTTTAGTTGTCAAAATATTGTCTTAAAAAAATCAACACCTTTTAAAGCAATAGATTTAAATCACTTGGGATTATTTTTCAAAAATGCTATGCAGACAAGGCATTGTAAAAATCTACTTTCTTCAAGAACCAGCAGGACATAATTTGACAACATGAGGTAAACTACTGTATCTAGAGGAAATAATGATCTCTAATGTTTACCAACAAAAGTACCCTCACAGAATAGCAAATACCCCTCTGCTTCAGACATTTGAGGTCAAAATTAAATATGGAAGTACTTTCCTTGCAAGCCCCTAGAGGCAGATCAAAGAAAGCATGCATTAAGAGGAAAAGGAGAGACTGAAAATAAAAATCACTATAATGCAGATTTATGCCTTATTTTTTAGCATTTTTTAAATGTTGGGTCTTTTAAGCTGTTTTTGCTTTTTATTAGATCTATATAAATAAGTTAGCTAGCAGTTTAGTTTTGTATTTAAGCTACAATTAATCTTTTTTTCTTTGGTGATATTTATTTCTTTGCCTTTTTTTTTAAGCTGAATTTTTAGGTGTTTTGTTGAATGTTTAGAGCTTCATCACCATGGCAATATGTATTTCCCTTGAAACATTGCAAACAAATATACTAGGAGTGCACTCTTTTAATCTTTACTAGTTATTGTGAGATTGCTGTGTAAGTTAATAAACACATTTGTAAATACATTGTTTGCAGGGGAAAAAAATCTGAGTTCTAGCTCAGAAGAAGCCTGCGGAGTTTATGTTGTAAGCATTACTTAACACAGTATAAAGATGAAAAGGTAACAAAAATAACTTCATACTTCCTCACCTACTCATTGCAACAAAATCCTTAACTAGGAAAACCTGACTCCCCCTCTCCCTCTTCCTCCTCCACTCCTCACATACTGTCACCTTGTAATACTTGGAGAGCACTTGGATTATGGATCTGAATAGAGAAAGACTTTCAGATAATCATTAGCCCACATACCCTGTAACTTATACTCAAACGTGGGATGGAGTTGTAAAGTGCTTTTATAATACATCTTATTGTTAAAAGCAAGGATTGACTCTTTTGTTTTATTTTGACATGGCATGTCCTGAAATAAATATCAGTTCAATATGGCAGATGGTTCACATTCTTTATTTGAAGGAATTATAATCTCTGAAAAGGGGGTATAGTTGTCGTCCTACTGTTGCATTTGAATCTTTTATGCTGCTTTTCGTTTTTCTCTTTTTATTTGGCTTGGGGTTCTTAAGCTAAAGCAGTGAAGTGTGTTCACAATCTAGATTTTTTTTAAACACAACTTTCCTGCCAAATATATATAAATAAAACAGAAAGCAGGTATTGACTTGGTTTCCCATTTCTGCCAATGTGCTGAGTATGCTTCTCAGTGTGCATATGCTTCTCTCCTATTGCTACAAAGTGCACTTAATAAAATAAATGAATACCAAGAACAAATGTGGGGGGAAACGGGAAGTCTTTTCAAGGGTTGAGGGTGTGCAAAAGGGGCTGCAACTCGAAAGACAGCCCTTACTGGGGTAGCAATAGGAGAAACAGTCATGTACCAGATGTGATATTTTGGTCAGGGGTGGACCATATATCAAACGATGCTTCATATAAATACAACTGAACTAAAAAATTATGTTGGAGTTCAAGACCAGCCTGGTCTACAAAGTAAGTTCCAGGACAGCCAGAGCTACACACACACACACACACACACACACACACACACACACACACACACACACA